CTTGACAAATAATAAAGTAAAAATATCAAAACTTCCTTCTTAAATGGGAACCAGCTTAAAACGTAAAGCTTACACTCCCTCTGTTCCCCAACAGAAGAAAATCTTCCAATTATCTTTCAATCTTGACACATTTAATAAGCAGCTGACAACGTGCTTTTTCTTAAGTTGATTTAAATTAATCTATAGTTGCCTTTTTGTATACATAATTTGTTTAATGGGAGTATTTCACATGCCACTGCACTCACTCATTCATTCACTTTGGCTTTAGTTTGTTCTTAATTGCCTTATTTTGTTTCATTTTGCAAAAGATTTTTGCATGTTTTGAGCTGCTTAGTCAACATGGTGACTAGTAATAATTACTTCCGCGGTGAAATAAAATATAAAATATGTGGGTTTAAGCTGCCAGTAGAGATAAGGCATTTTCGAATTTAAATGAGTTTGATAGGAAAAACACAAACCAGCAGCCTTAAACAGCTCTGTGCAGCCTGATGCCAGAGGATCAAAATAGCTAAAATGACCTCTTTTGCTTGAGCTTTTGTTTTCTTTTTAGAATGAGTGATTTTGTAAAGGATTTCTTTTTGTGTGTTTGACTGACAGTGGTGAATTTAGTCACCATAAACACAATTCTCTGCAGAGAGTCATGCAAACAAAATGGTTTCCAGCCCCCTTTTTTTGCAGAAATAACTGCAACTTTAGTCCACCTCTAAACATATAGAAGGGCGGCAATTATGTTGTTGCAATTTGGAAAAGCAGAAAAACAAACACAGGTGTTGCATTTTAAATCTTTTGTGTAACAATAGGTATTCGTTTGGTGTGCAGAGACAGTTTGGTGATGTTTACCTTGGATGTGTTTCAACCTAGCGCTCCAGAAAATTTGAGAAACTGTGAACATTTTACTACAACTCTTTAAATATTTGAAATAATTGGACTGAATGATGTAGAAACATTGACTTTTTCTGCTTGTTTTGTTTTATTTGTTTTCAACAGCATGGCATAAACATTTGATCATATTGGAAAAACATGTGAACTTCATGAAAGACTCTCAGTATAACTTAAAGTTTTTATAATGTAAATTTGACCTTTTTTAGCTTTACATCATGTTATACAGTTATTTGCTCATCAAAAACATTCCTGGAGTGTTGTTTTGATTCTTTCATGCATGTTTGAGAAATCCTTTAATCTCCATGGCAACCACTCAGGGGTGCTTAAATGCTTGAGCCCACAAATCTCGTCTGCTGCACTTTCCTAGCCAAGCTTCTGCCCCTTCACTGTGATCCCCAAACTCAGCTCCTTCAGACTAGCGGCAGCAGCAATTAGCAAACGCCTGCTGGAGCTGCGAGTCTACTAAGTTTACCATTTGAGTCACTTCTCAGTGTAACGCTCCTAAGAATAGCTGGAAACGTCATTGTTGTGAAGACTTGCCGAAGGTGGAGATTCAGAAAGAGCATAAGGTTTTTAAAGAGACAGAGGCCCAATTTCAAGACATCAAACTGCAAAGCAAAATTTCTTTTAAGTCACGTATTTATAGCATTTTCATGACAACTTTAGATAACATGATTGTGCCATAAAATGGCACTATCCCTCTGGAAAATCCCAACACCGGCACTTTAAAATGTGTTTTTTTTTTCTTCAGCAGGCTATTAAAATGCTGCTGAAAAATATCATCATTTTCTGCATCATTAGTTGTTTTAAAGCTTCTCTGACATTCTGTAAATGCCAGGAACTGGTCTGCATGTCCAGTAGACATTATCCAATTTTAGATAATGAGATGAACTCTTGTTGGACTTCAAAGCGGTCAGAAAGCTGTTTACCTTTAAACTCCTTGAGCCGTGGCTGCACATAATGGACAGTCAGGCTCCTCAGAGCCAGCTAGCCCATTAGCCAGGGCTAATGCATCCAGCGCTCCCCGCCATGCGCCGTCCATCACTGCAAACTAGATCTGGTTTCACGCGGGAGCCGCCTCACCTCTTTGTGCTCGGAGGCAACTCTCGTTCCAAAACAACGACCCACAAGAAATGTGACTGATCGGGTCGTTGACACGCACACAAAGATGCGCTTCTTTCTCTTTTGTAGTGTCGAGCTTGTCAAGAGGTTAAAGGTTCAAACGACGAGTTTTACAAAAGAGAAACCTGAACGGGTTATAAAAAGCAAAACCTGCAGATGTGCACTCTTCTAGACGTATGGTGGATATTGGCTCAATCAGAAGGTGAAATTGTTGTCGACCCAGCCTGTAATCTTGGGTTTCACAGTTCCACCATGCTAAATGGACCGGGTGCATTAAAGGCCAAAGTGGAGCTGTGCAGAGTGCTTTTAAAAGGCTACGAGTTTAAAAAAAAAAAAAAAAAAAACAGCAGACAACCTCCCCTGTTTTCCTGCGAAGGGATAGTGACACACAGCAACCGTGTAGCGAGGCTGTGTGTATCAGGTTGCTGCTCAAACAAAAACAGACATGCTGATGGGCAGAAAGCACATGGAGGGAACGGTGACTGACATGAGGGCTCGCATGTGACTGAGACGGGGCGTCTTCCAGCAACACGGCTTTGTTCAAACAAGCAGAGTTTATAGGTGGACATGGGAAAAATGCACCACACAAGTGGAAGAAGGTATTTTTCTAAATGGATGCCAAACCTTTCATCCTCTGCAGTCTTGTCTTTCGTTAGATGTTTTAAGGACAGTTTCCATATTACACAACAATGTTAGTTATTGCTCCTCCCAAACCAGCATCATGTCAGTCAATTACTCAGTATTATTTACAAAGAACAACATGCTTGCTCATTTCCTTCAAGGGCGTCTTTTATAAACCAGTTGGACGCAATAGTTTCCTGTTAAATAGTTGTTGAAGAAACGGGATTCTCTTGCTATTTCAGTCTTAACTTGTTGAGCATACAACACTGTAAAGTCAGGCCTGAAAGAAGGGGAAGAAGCAAAAAGTAAAGATATATATGAATCCTGACTTAGTGTAAGAATTACAGACGACTGAAAATGGATTCAATATTTCTGCTGGGTAATGATCAAAAACATTTTGCCAAATCAATAAAGAAATGATTAAACGGACAGAAAGTCAACCTTCTGTAATGCGTCTGATCCTGAAAACAAACACTGCAGATGAGATTGATTTAAAAAAAAAAAAAACTTATGCCCACTGGTAAGTACAGTGGAGAATCTGTGATGCTTTGGGCTTGAAAACTGCCAGAGAAATACAAACACATTTTAAACAATCTACTGAATCTAGATCGACTTTGCACTACGACGACTTTCAGTCCTGCAGAGAACTGTAGGGTGAGCTGAGGTTAGGAGAACAAGAGAGATCATCTCTGTATTCCCTGAGATTGGGACAGGATTTTCAGCATAACCTATGCAGGATTGAAGACTTTTTTTCCCCACAGTAAATGTGCTTCCCTTTCCAAACTAAAAATCCTGCATTACTTTACTTTAAATATAAGAATAAATGTCTAACGTAGCTGACCTAAAACGTATTGTTGTCTAGTTTGCATATATCTTAGCACACAAAAGGAAAAATCCATCCAAACTATTTGGACTATTTCTGACTTATTTTTGCTAGGTAATAAAGTCATCTGACAGTTTTGATTGTCTTTTTTGTGTTCTTAGTCTGAAAGGTTTAAAGGGTCGTTTTCATCTGCAGTTCTATCTCTACACAAACAGACATAAACAAGCAGTGAATAAATCAATTTTCAATTAGTTTTTTTGCACCAAAGAGTTAAGAATATAAAAACACGAGGGAACACAAAAGAAACTGTTTTCCCCACGTCCCCTAAAGGGCTCCGTAGATTATTTCAGTCATAACAATGTCCCATTTCTTAAGTGAATTTATCTGCCACTGGAACTATAACAATTTAACTAATTAATTACTGACTTAGAACAAGCTCCTACATCTTACTGAAAAGTAACTTGTGGGTTGGTTTTGTCTTATTTCAAGGGAAGATATTCGCAGCAGAAACTAGACCAAACATACTCGTATTTCTGCGGTGTCCAAACTTTTATAAGTATTTATTTTCCATTAGGATCCTTCTCTCTCACTCAGAAACTCTCATTTTCTCCCACTTCCAACAATAACAAGGGTGACTCATCACCATGAAGCAAATATGCCAATAGTTCTCGCTACCAGCAGGGTGTGTAAATTCCACACCTGTCCCATCATCATCAGCCTCTTCCTCCTCCTCCTCCTCGCCTCCTTCTCCTCCTCTTTATGTGCCGTCTCTGTTTCCACACATCCTCCCTCCCTCACTTACGCTCATGCTCACCTCACAGCGAGCAACTTGAGGAGAAGCTAAGAACATGCACAGCCAGGCAGAAGATCCAGAGGAAGCAGTTTGGGCCCACTCCGTGCTTTTCCTTTTTTTTATTCGTCCAGGTGAGCTGAGATTCTTTTAACAGGTGTCTTCGTTGGTGAAGATTTGCTCGTCTTTCTTAAAATGCAGCAAATAAATCCCTGTTGACATGAATAGGAACTTCTTCTTTCTCATTCAGGTTGTTTTTCCTTTTGGAAATGTTTCTGTCAAAGTAGATTGCTTTTGTCTAAGCCTCCTTTCTTTGTGTCTGTTTTTCGCTGAAAGAAACCATTAACCTGAACTGAACAAGTCTGGAGAGGCAGAACTAACTCACGTGTGAAGGTGATAGCGGGGCTTTTGTCGGCCTGCTTATTTAAGATCAAGACGGATCATTACACTTTTTCTACACAGGAGAGGAAGAGGAGGAAAGGGCGTCGTGACAAAGGCTGCAGCTGCCTTTTCTTCTTCTTCTTCTTTCAAAGAAGGGGGAAAAATGACATAATGGCATTCATGCTCAGGTAACTTTCAACACTGACACCCTTGAAACTAATCCGGTCTTTGAGGTTTGTTTACGAGATTTGTGGGAATACGCACGCAGGAAAATCCAAAACTATGAATTTGCGCAAGTTGCTAAATACTGTTTTTTAAATATCTTTAAACCACTCTGGATGATTGATGAGGCAAGAAGTGAAACGCTGGTATTTTAAGGTGTAAATTATCTGCTGCATCTCTCTTTACAACTTTACTGACTCCACATCAAGGCTGCGCAAACACATTAGACGGTGGAGCTGATGTCATCATGCCCCCATTTGGGTGGAATAACAATTTATTCTGAAAACTGAGCTTCGGGTCCTGAGGCTCAGACAGAATAAGAGGATCGAGTCCTGTTGCAGCTGGAGAATGGGGCCTGTAGCGGGAAAGAGAAAACTGATATTGGAGTTTGAAGTCTATAATTACGCCATCTTGTCGTGAAATTTATGAGTTACGAGAAGCTCATTTCAACAGCAATGGACAAAGACTGGCTTTTAAACGGTTCATTATCCTTCACCAACCTTTAAAGTAAAAAATTTAAAAAAAAGCTTTCTGTAACAATGAAGTTGTTTAAATGTGGTAAAACTAACTTTAATGTCAGACAAAGATAACTTGTGTAAAACTTGAGATCTTTTCTGCCCACAGCCATCACCATCTACAAATGACTTACAACAACATTTAATTTCCATTTTGGGTGAAGTATTTTTGAATTTAAAATAAAAACTTTTTAAATTATTCTTTCGTTTATTGAGGGAGAAAACCCATTCATATTACTTTGTAAAAAAGTAACTGCTCTACATTGATAAATCATAAATTAATTGTGGTTGACCTCATTTGTTTTGGAAAGTTGATAGTATTTTAACTGATCCGAACACAACACTTTGGAAAAATCACATCAGACTAACATACTGAGACCTGGTGGTGGCAGTATGATGATCTGGGACTGCGTAATACTTCAGGACTTAATGGATGAAACGATGAACTCTGCTCTTTACTAGAAAATCCTGAAGTAAAATATCCAACCATCAGTTTTATGACGAGGCTGCAGAACAATGATCTGATGCACACCACCAGCAAGTCTGAATGGATATAAAAGAATTTGGTTTTGGATTGAAAATTATTCTTAGATAATTTATTTAAATCCAAATAAACCCAACGTTTACACTCGCATGTGAAAATGGCTCCAAACAGATTTGCAGTTACACATCTATCTTTGAACATAGCAAAATATCTTTTCTGAATGGTAAGTCCACAACCAAACTGTTTCTCTTTTCCAGCAGCTGTAAAACTAACTGAGCGAAGGTAATGGAGCTTTCCTTGGGTTGCTAGGTAACCCAGCTGGGCTTGCCCGGGGTTGCTAGGTAACAGCGCAGTGGCAGTTAATTTTGACTTACCAATATTAACTTATTGTCAAAAATGGCTGTTTTTTGTGTCTTAATTGCGTAATCTGTGTTTTAGAAGCAGTTGAAACCCAAATGAAATGTACAAAAATGTACAGAAGGTGAATTTTGCATAATAGGTCCCCTAAAGAAATACTGTGATTATTATAATAATATTATTATTTCATCACTGTTGCTTTGGTCAGTGTCTTTTCAGCTCAGTAACGTTTGGCTATAATGGTAGTGACTTTGATTGACACTTTGAGCCTCATTGGCTACAATTTATCAGTCTAATCTGCCTAGAATCATGTGGCAGGTAATAATTTGTGAAGAAATATGGTAATTTTCAGGGATTTTGCAGGTTTTGTAAATGTTTGGAATATCCAACTGGATTAACAACCAGCCACTGAGAAGTCATTAACAGCATAAGTTAGGGAGTCATCTGCATAAAGACTCACTTTGCTGTATTCATCGTATTCACTGTAGCCTTATGGAAGTAATAAGTTCTTCCAATTTAACAAATATCTTCATTAAATTGTACAAACTTGCTAAAATTCACTTTTTCTCCAGGTTTTCAAGTGTATTTTGCACGATAACCTTTAAGATGTGACTCAGAAATTTACTTAAGAGGACAAAACGTTATTATTTCCTATTATGAAACAAAAACGTTTTTACAAAAATTAAAGAAAACAAAAGGATTTTTAGTTATTTTATTTTAAATTAAACTAACTCATTCTTTGGCAAGCCACTTCACACAATCTATTACTAGCCAGTAACACATGTGGCCACTTTTTATAGGCAAATAACTTCTGCTCTTCTGTAAGTCTAGGAATCCCATTTGGATAAATAAGCATTAAAGTCAAAGATCTTATCACTTTATCCGGATTGATTGTGATCACCTCATCAAGCAGATCTACTATCTCCAATTTAAAAGTTTATAAGTTGCATGATGCATGTTTTTTTCTCTGTCTTGCAGAAAAAGTTATTTACCCCCAAACTGCACAACAACAAAACTGAAATTTTCTAAAGACGCAGAACTTAGCTCATCAGTGAGCATCGGTACAAACAGGATTTGTTCACAGTGGCTAAGTTCAGTGTCTGACATGAAAAAAAGTCATCTTCTGCATACCTGAAGGCCCCAGCTGTCCATAAATCCCAGAGATGAGGAGAGAGGGACTGCCGTCATTAAAAAGCACCTGTACTGTAAAGAGAAGAGGAATGCTGTAAAAGTCTTTGCATGTCCAGGCAAATTATGTCAGCTTCTTCTGATTTATGAGGAGAAAAAGATGAAGAATCAGGCAGTGATGGAGAGCAAAAGGTTAAATTAGGCTGATTCATGAGTGATTGTTGTTTTTGTTTTTTTTAATCACACCAAAGATGATTTTAAATGGGCATAACTGACTCAATGTGTCGAAAATGTAAAGACAGATGATGCAAGCCAATAAGAAAAAAAAATGCTATTTTTGCAGAGTTTAAAATAGAGCGAGTGCTTGTTACTATCTGTGCTTTCAATTACTTTGGGAATTGGTGACACCCAGCTGCGTTTGGGTTGTTTACTCGTGTGCCTACTGAACTGGAATCAGTGTGTCTCTGCAGAACTGGCTCAGTCCAGCAGGAACAAGAGTGACACCTAATGAGAGCCCGTCACTCCCTCCATCACATCCATCACCACTAACACACCAGAGACGACCACCAACATTTGTATTCATTTTAAAGAGTCGATGATGACACAATGAAATAAAGTGTTCACTCCTCTGCCCTAATTTGTCCTCCTGTGTGGGCGAATCTGGCTGCCTCTGCAGGTAGTCGTTATCATCGGCAGCTGATTTCTGCTGAGTAACACTTTGCATCGCCTCTCTTCATTCGTCATGCTATAATAAGCTGTCAGTGTGTCTGCGAGCGTCTTCGCTAAACTGGGATACAACAGCTCGACACCTCTGCAGTCATTAAATACCCGAATGGACCGGCGCTGCATTAGCATAAGCAGAAGTGATGATCATAAGACGTGCTATTGATTTGAGATAACCCGGAGTTTTGAGGCCGCTGTGTGAACAATTACTCCTCACCTTGAGCCATGTTCCTGCGGATAAAATCTGAAGACTCTTTCTGAAGGAAACACGAGTGTGTGTTTACAGTGAAATGTTCATTAAAACTGTAATCGAATATGCATGATCTGAATTAGCCTAAATTACTTTTGACCGTTTACAGTCGAAGTTCAAGTTGCAAACTGGATGCGTCAGAAGTATTCACTCACTACATAAAGAAAGTCTGAGTTAATTTGAGGTGTTGAATGATAGGAAATTGATAGAAAATTATTAATAAGAGACTAACAGGTTGCATTTCCATTAACCATAAAATTGCGCAAAATAAGGAAAATAAATTTGCTTAATGGAAAACCTGCCAATTTCGAAAGCTCTTGCGCTAAGATACGGTGGTTTCTCAAAATAGACGTATTTAGCAAAACTGCTTTTTTCGCGTCACCCGAGTCACGTGATCAACAACCGGATGTTGTTATTGGCGAAAACGACGAAGAAGACGACGACAGGAAGTAGTAGGATGATGGTTTGTGAACGTTTAAGGAGGAATAAGTGAATATTTGAGCCCATATTTACCTTACAACGTTGATCCTGAGTGAAATACAAACTTACGCACCCAGTTCTTGGTTTTAAAAATATCACTTAAGTTATAAGTGTGCACTCACCAGCCTGGACAATTTGGGATTAACCAATGTCTAAAAAAAGACACAGACACAATATGCTAATAATTTCCATGATGAGGAATGCAAATGTCCCATTTAACTGTGGGGTTTATAGTTAATTCAAAGACGTCCACCACAGATCACCACTGAAGCATTACTGTAAAATTACTGACTGATGAATACAGCATTACAAAATGTGAACTGGCTGCACCATGAAAAATCATTTGCATGATTCCACCACACACATCACTCAAGCAAATTTTTGTCCTTTCTATATTACTGGAAATTTGCATGCAGACACATAAACCACCATGACCTTTAAATTTGGGTCAATTTGTGTTGTGGAGTTAATGTTTGTGGGTTTTTCTCACAAAATTAAAAAAAAAAAAAAAACAGAAAACAAACCATGGATAGTAACAACCTACAGTTAATGATCACACATTGGTTTTATGACTATTACTTCTTATTACAAACCCACTGCAAGCATGTATCGTTTGTTGTTATGTTTGCAATTTTGGCATGCAAAGATTAATTACATTTGACAACATCATCAGTCATTGCTCAAAACATTAAGGTAAAGTTACACAAAGTCAACCAAGCCTTAAAGAAAAATAAACATTTGCATCTTAATTTCTTTATACCGTCTCTTTATACAATAAAATTTGATTTTGATTTGATTTGATTTATAATGTATCCAGTTTGTTTTTTAAATTATTGTAACTAGAAGCTCAGACTTTGTTTCATTATCATAGAATTAAATTTTTAGCACTTGGCACAACTACAGTTTCTAAATAAAACAATCAAGTAAATAAAACAAAAAACTATTAAAAAAAATCAACTGCTGTCTTTATGGTAGGGATTTTTCAAACAAATAGAAAGGTTGTATCAATCAAAGATGATTTAGCAGCATATTCGAATGAGAATATTTTTATATCATAATAATTATAAAAGTATATAATGGCCTTTAGCTGTAATTTAAAACAAGGAAATTTCTGGATGAGAAAGGAAAATTATACCAAAATGACAAGAAAATACAGCCACGATAATGTAAATTTGCTGCTCTGGAAGTTTTTCTGGTTGTAAAACTTTTTCAAATGCAGCATTACTTATTTTGCATACTAACAAGAATAGATTAGTTTGTTTTCCCAGCCGACCCCCTGACCTTCTGCAATGCTGCCAGTAATACATGAAAAACATCATGTAACTTGGTCAGATTTACACATAGAAAACATAAAAACTAATAAATGTTAACCAATCATTCACTTTTTAACCAATCCAGCTTTTTGTTTAGTTTAGTGTAACTTTGACACTGCAGGGCGAACTCAGTCACATCATCATCACCTTCAGCTCCATCCAAAACATTTATTTATTTATTTATTTATTTATTTATTTATTTGTTTGTTTGTTTATTTCTTTATTTATTTGAATAAGTCTTTGTATATGTTATTTATTTATATATTTATTTTTATGTTTTTTTTTCTTTTTATGTATTTGTTTGTTCAGTCTTTGTAGGCGTTATTTCCATGTATTAATTACTTAATTTATTTTTATGTATTTATTTATTTTTATTTATTTGTTCAGTCTTCGTAGGCTTTAAAATGAAGTTTGAGTTCCTGAGCTTTGACGTTGTTGTAATACCTCAACGTGGCCAGACGGGGGCGCGCTAAGCCCACCACTCACCTGTACCAACCTGTACCAAGGGCATTTATTATTTCGCCTCTGAGCTTCTATTTAATTATTTTTACGATGACGGTGGCGGCCTTATTGCTTTAATTTTCTTTTTTTCCCTCATTTTTTTAGGGTTGCGGTGTTTCCAGGTTCACTGAAGGGGAAATTATCCATTAATTCCCACGTCGTCAGCGAATGTGTGCGCGCGTGTTTGTGCGTGTGCGTGTGGAGAAATGTAGGAAGTAACGATAACTTTCCGCCAAAGACGACGAGAAGACGGCAATCCTGCATTTTTCACAAGGACAAGGACATTTGCAGAAGGAATTACGACCATAAATATAGACTAAAACCTCCTTTTTCTGATCTTTGGGAACTCTTTATTCGCTTTTCAGTTCGTATTTCAGCCTGTTTTTTCTTTTCTTTTATTTTCTTTCATTTCAAGTGATGTTTTTCCCCTGAAGTTGTGTGACAGGAGTTAGTCAACGTCTGTTTTTCTCCCCTGCCAGTGTTTTTTCCAGCCTTCAAAGATGCAATGAGACACTTTCCTTAAAGGTAAGACTTTGACATTTAGCGCCTCGTTGACACCTGTTACTGTTAGGTGTTTGCCACGGACAGATGTCTGTTTTCGGGATTATGTTGATTATAGGAGGATTAATGGTCTCCCAGAAAAGTGTGCGGATACTGAAAGTATAGAAAAAGTAAACAAAATGAATAAAGGCTTATAAACTCAACTTTCATTGCTGATTCTTAGTCTTCCTGAAAAAAAATGTATCCTAACTTTTATTTGAACATATTTACCGAGTGGGGAAAAAGAACCAGATGAAATAATATAATAAATGTATTTTTCTTTAAATAGCAATGGAAGAATTACTGGCACCCCTAATAATCTCAGTAAAATAAACGTCACTGTTTGTACTTTACCAATTAAAGTTGAGTAAAGTTTCTAGGAACTCATTACTAGTTGTAACCTGTCATTTTCTGTTTGCTTGGTGTTCAGATATGACGTATGCCTGCTGGTTGTTTTGGAGTCATGAGAAAACATTGTCTTCCCTACTTCTGCAAAATTTCACATGTGGATAAGATAATTAATCTGGGATTAGGTGATTTGGTTGGATTGAGGTTTTCAGCAACAGACACTGTTTGTTCAAAACAAACAGTTAGGCATGGTGGAGGCTATGTGATTCTGTGGGCCTGTTGGTCTTCCTAAGTCGCATACAATTAAAAATAAATAAAAACCTGAAAACGTGGCTTCTAACCAACATCAACGGTGGGTCAGGCATTAAAAAAACCAAAATATAAATATATAGATTAGCCTCTTTAAGTATAGTGGAAGATGTGTGATGCTGTGGGCCACTTTCATTCTAACTTTTCCAAATTGTTATGGAAACGTGGAAATTCACAGACATTAAAACTGCAAACTCAAAGCAGGTCTTCAGTATTATGTTAATAAAGTAGCAGAAATGGTTCATCATGCAAAAAAAAAAAAAAAAAAAACAAAAAGTTAGTCCTCATGTAGAGCCTAAAGAAAACCTCAGGGATGAAGGAAAGTGAAGAGATTAGAAACCAAAGATCAAGAACTCTGGATTGCCTAGAGCAGCGATTGTGAAGCGTTTGATTTTGTCAAACTGTGGCCGTGCATTTGAGTTTATATTCATTATTAAGTGACATGTAAAAACAACACAAACTACACCAACAAGGTAATTTTAGGAAATGAAGTAGACATTTTATGAGAACTCTAACAAAAATTTAAATACCCCAATTTTTTCTCTTTTTTTGTCATTTTAAGACATTTTTCTTGTAAAATTAGTCTTTATTCTACTAATATTATGACTATATTCTCTTGATTAAACTGAAATTCTCATAGCTAAACCCAGATACTGTTGCATACAACTCACTGAAATAAAAGCAACTTTTTGAAATCATTTTATGTCTTTTGTAATTTCATTTTCTGGAAAGAAAATGTGAAAAAATCAGCTAAAATCGAACACATATATTAGTTTATAATGCTGTAATGAGATCACTATGTTCTTGCAGCCTCGCTTTGAGAGCTTTCGCATCATCTGAGCAGAAATGTGTTTCCTTTCATGATATCCTTCCACTGTTAGATAAAAATTCAGCAGTGAAATGGACCACAGTCTAGTTCTTGTGAAGTATGAAATATCCTGGTTGGGTTGAATGAGGAAGGAGTCGTCCTACTGGATTGACATGGAAATGAGCTCCAGATAATTCACACCATGTCCTCTCCCTCTACTAGCAGCGTCTCTGTGTTATTATGCAACCAGGAAATGTGATTAAATTAAATCTTGGCGAACAGGATGGTGTAAAAGCTGCCATCCGTCCCAGAACTGCCACTGCATGGATGTTCCCACCTGTGATTTGGTTTAAAACATTAATTTATTGCAAGTCACGTTTTCTATGCAAAGCCATTCAATTGCGATCAAAGATTATTTACTTAAAGACTTTTTACATTTATCTTCCAGAGTTGCAGACTAAGGCTGGGCAGTAAATAGATTTTATCGATTAATCAAACTTTTGGTTTTTGAAAGTTGCCTTTTCTCTTTTCACCACTGGACTTCTTGGGTTTCCGTGATGTCAGCAACACGCCCAGTGTCGGCATGTCGCTTGGCAGGATCTTTTTTTACAGCTTCTGGTTGTTTAGACTTTGAATTCAGGTCAACTCTGCCATAAAATATAACAGTCAGGCTACATTTTACTTGTTTTGTTACAAGAATAAAGCCTTAATCTTAGCTGAATTAAGTAATATTAGGAAATTAAGTAGCAATTTTATTATAACTAACAAAAAATTAATTATCCAAATTTTTTCTTATTAAAACTACTTTTTTATTATTTTAAGACATTTGTCTGGTAAAATTGCATCATTATACTGCTAATATTATGACTAATTTCTCATAATTAAACTAAAATTCTCATACATCTCATAGCAGGGATGATTGCAATAAACTGAAAAGATTTTCTGTCATTTGAAATTTTGTTTTCTGAAAAGAAAACGATTAAAAAAATGTATCTGGTATGAAATAATTTTATTTTTTAGCTAAATCGCTCATTTCTAATTATATGTCATGTTCATTATGTAAAATTAATGCAGTAGCAATCAAAGATGAGTTTATTTAAAGGTTTTTTACTTCATCCAAATGTTTTCTCTCATTCTTCCATATTTTTATTAATTTATTACATTTTTCTGCTAGAATTGTGTCTTTATTCAGCTATTATGACTATTTTCTCCTAATTAAGCTAAAGTTTCTCTTACCCAGAATCAACTCTGTCGTACAACTCACTGTAGGAATGACTGAAATAAAAAAAATTCCTTTTGAAAACATTTTCTGTCATTTGTAATTTTGTTCTCTGAAAAGAAAACAAGAAAAAACTCACTTAATCTGATCTGGCATGATCAGATTTAGTTATATGTCTTGTTTTCTTTTCCAGAGGTGCTGATATTTTTGACTCTATCCAAATGTTTTCCCAGATACTCTCATATTTTTATCGATTTATTTTACCTAAAAACGTTGTTTTATTGCCACTGTGTGTGATTTCTGCAGCGCCTGGTGGGCTGTGAGTTATGCAGAAGCCCGTCTCTGGGTCAGGATGAGCACTACAGATGGAGCTGGGATCCCTGAGCACGACGAAGATGCCCGTGTGGTGCAGATCTACCCCAGGCTGCCTCTGGAGACAGAAACCTACTGTCCCCTGCAGGTCAGCATCAAGGACACGGCGAAGACTGTGATCCACAACGTTGTGGTCACGCTGGGCCTGGACTCCAGCCAGAGCTACAGCCTCCTGGAGGTGAAGGAGAGCGGCAGCAAGGAGACGCCGTTGGACGATGGCGACCGCCCTTTGGAGCGAGTCCTGTGTTGGCCGCCGGAGACACAGAAGTGGCACCCTCCCAGTCAGGGCTACTACTTCGTCCTGCAGCAGAGTAACAACGGAGCGAAGCAAGTCGCAACGTCTAAGGAGGAGTCTGACGACCTCTGCAGCCTCCCGTCTGTGACCCAGGAGGCGGTGCTGCAGGTCTTACGCCAGCGCTTCCACAAGCACAAAATCTACACCTACATCAGCAACATCCTGGTCGCCGTCAATCCCAGCAAGTTTTTACCTCTTTATTACAACCCAAAGTACGTGAAGCTGTACGAGAACCAGCCGCTGGGCAAACTGAGCCCGCACATATTCGCCATCGCCGACGTGGCGTTCAGAACCATGCTGAGCCGGCAGGCGAACCAGTGCATTCTGATCTCTGGAGAAAGCGGATCGGGGAAGACTGAGAGCAGCAGCTACCTCATCCACTGCCTGACCACACTCAACCAGGGGAAGTTCTCCGGCGGACTGGAGCGAGCCATTCTGGGGGCCGGCCCGGTTCTAGAGGTAGGACACCGGCATACAAACCTTTTCACAGGCTGGGCGATAAAACAATTTTATCATTTAATTCAATTTTTGGTTGTTGACGGTTTAACTTTTGAAAAAAATTTGTTTTTTCATTTTGAGTGATGTCAGTCACCTTACAAGCGTTTTCTACAGCTTCTATTTATTTGGATTTTGAGGTCAACTCTACAACAAAATCTATTTTTTTAATACGCTAAAAGAACATTCCTTGTGGGATCAAGAAAGTATCTTTTAATTTTTTTTTTTTTTTTTTTTACGAAAATAAAGTCACGCAGCTCTGGAAAAAATGAGCCCACTGTACTGAACCGCATTGAAAACCTCCTGGTTATTCCACCAAATGTTGATTTCCAAGTTAAAACATCAGTATTGTTGTTTCTGAATGAATATGAACTTGATTTGTTTGCATTATTTGAGGTCTGAAAGCACTGCATCTTTTTCCTTAGTTTGACCATTTCTCATTTCCTGCTAATAAATGCTAAATTTTTCAGAGACATGTCAGCAGTTCATAGAATAAAGAACATGTTCATTTTACTCAGAGTAAAATCAGAGGAACTGATCATTTTAATTTTTTCCAGAGCTGTATAGTCATTCCAGAAAAAAGTCAGGGTTTCCCCCAGTGTGTTATAAGCCTGGCGGGCTGCCAGGCTTTACTTGTGCCCCCACCAGGCTTAGCGTTGCTTAATTATTTAATTTCTTTTTAAATGTTTGCATTTTTAAGACTTTATAGTTGGTGTTCAGATGTTAATCTTCCAATCTTTCAATGACACTTAATTATCAAGTTATATTTTCAAATTTCCTGTCAACTTTAAACATTTTTTAACTCAAAAACACAACGCTGGATGAACGACTGCCGAGCACCCAACCGCCGGGCTTAGCAAGTTTTCTAGAGGAAACCTTGAATGTCATTTGACAAAATCAAAGTAATACGACAATACATTTTTTAATATTATCAGATTAAAATGGTAATAGTAGGAGACTGAAGTAGAACTCCAACACAAAAAATAAACAGAATTTAATTATCTAAGCTTTTTTCTCATTAAAGTGAAGTTTTAATAAATTCTTCTGGTAAAATTGCATCTTTATTCTGCTAATATTATATATAACACAGTCATAATATTAGCAGAATATCATAGTAATGCTTCGTCATACAGGGATGATCTAAATAAAAGCCACTTTTTGAAAATATTTTCTGTCAAATTGTAATTTATTTTTTTACAAAAGTAAGTGAGAAAAATTGGAAATCTGATCTGGTATGAAAAACAATCTGATATTCCAACTTCAAGCCATTTTGCCCAGCTGTACCTGGATGTAAAATCTGTAGGAGTCAGTGAGATTAGTTTGAAGCACAGAATAATAAACAATTTGATCAATAAGGAGCTAGCTAGCAATAGCAAAGCTAACTGGCTTTTATGTCCATCATGAACAATTTTCTTTACTACGTTTCTGTTGCGATACAAGTCTTAAATTTAATTCATAACGGTCTTAAAGAGTCTTATATTTGTGTTGATGAAACCTGTTTTAATTTTACCATTTAGCGCTAAAATAAATTGTGTGATTAGACGAGCATAAGCATAAACAATATCATCAGAATTAGCTTTAATTGACAAGAAAAGAGAGGACTAACAATAAACTGGCCTTTAGTTTGTTAGCTAATAATGTTTCTGATAAGTTTTGTCGTAAAAAGTTGCTGTTATTTTGTGTATTTGGTTGTTTGTGGTTCAGTTTCTGGGTTTGGCTCTGATTCAGACGGAAACTCGAGAAAGTTTTATCATTTCTGTTTTCAGAAAACCAGCTTAAATCCATTAGTGACACCTTGTGCTAAAGTTTGCATACAAGTAACCAGATCTGTTCTTATTTTGTAAACTGCTTCAAATATTTTAATCTGGCTTAATGACGCGTGAATCAGATCAGCTGAACATTTGTTTCTGTCTTTGTTAATACGCATAATCCGGAAAAACAAACGAGCTGTTGACTTTCACGGGAAACATTCTCTGGTTGCAGCTCTGTTAAGATTTTATCAAAGCTCTTGCAGGGAGAGGAACATGTTGAAATGTTACAGGCATTTGTAGCTTTCATTCCCACAGAACTAAGCACAACCTAAATCAGAAAATCTGCTTCTGCTGCAAGTGACAGCGAGAAATAAAGAAGTTAAGTTTTCTTTTTGGATTCATATCAGTAAAGCCTGTAGAGTGTGACTCACTAAAGTACGAGTTCGCTTATCAGCAGATCACTTTGTAGCTCTTTTTCTTTTTTGTCTGCCTTGTTCCGTCAGTTAAGATATGTCTGTACTACTCTCTTTTTGAAAAACTTGCTATTTGAGTCTTGAAACAGAAACTTGCAAATATATAATGTGGCCCTTCCCTGTTTAATGAAATCATTAGTGAATTGCCTATTATGAATAGATTCATGAGAAATGCAACAAGTTGGTAAATAAATGAGGCAAATCTGTTTATTTTAAACATTCTGTGAAAAACTCTTAAACCACCTCTAAAGTTTTTGTCCATCTTTGTCCCAGATTATGACAGTCTGCTTAGAAAATGAGGATATGGACAAAGTTGAGGACAAAAGAGGAAGTGTTGCTCATGAAAAACAGTCTAAAGTAGACAAAAGTTCAAAAAAACAGCTCACAAAAGCAACATTATTTATGTTAATCTCTGTTATATAATCCAAAGTTCCAGCACATTAATGTTTGGGAATCTTCTTCATGTTCAAATTCTCATCTATGTGGCAAACTGGGTTATTTTTGGTATTGTTTAGACTAATTAAACATAAGAGGACATTTTCTGCATTTATGAGACTGCTAGCATCCCCTAAACTTTGTTTACATTCTGACATGTTAGAGACTTCAATGTGTTTTATTAGTTTTCATATGACTGTGAACTGAAAAGAAAATACGTTTTGTTTTAAGGTTTTACGAATATAATTATCTTGTGTCAATGATTTTAGAGCCGTCTTTGGCTTGCTTGCTTTAGAGGTGCAAATATTTGGTTTCCTGTCTAAAACCTTCGGATGTCTAAATATTTAATATAACCATTAAAAGAAGTTTATTCAGCAAAAAGTCAATTCAAAGTGCCTTACATGCATTAGAAGAAAAATAAAAACACAAGAACAACAAAAGAAAAGCTACAGTTTAAAATGTTCCAGTTGATGTTAAGCAAAAGTAGCTCTAGTTTTCACCCTTGATTTAATTGAGATGAGTGAATATAAAACTAAACGTTGGTTCTTCATGACATCATAAAAATACAGACATCATTTACCAAACAGTTCATGTTTTTGACCATTTGGATAAAGATCTTCTGCAAGCATCAATTTAAAGTTTCACCCCAGATTCTCAACCAGTTTATCAAGTTTATTTGTGTAGCTCTTTACACCGAGAAAACTAAAAAAAACAAACAAAAAAACAGTTGTGAAAACCAATAACAGACATTAAATTTTGTCCAGTGCCATCGCTAAAATCATTAACATTAAATATGTTGATCAAAATTTGATTTATTATGGTTCAAAAGCAACTCTACCCAGGTGACTTGTTACTCTTGATGTGAAGGAGCTCAGTGTTTCAGCTGTTTTTCAGTTTTCTGGATGTTTGTTCCATATTTGAAGAGCATACAAACTGAACAGTGACGCTTTCTTTTCCCAGTCTGTCAGTTTAAGTGGAAAGCAACATTTTATTAGGTTTACAGTTGTGTCAATCATACAGATTAAGCAGTGGTGTCAGATTTTAAAAACTTATGATGTTGTTTTAAAACCCGTACTCTGGACTCACATCTGCTGGGTTTCCTTGTCATCATGATGCTTTTTGTTGAGTGACGCTATCCATTAAACCGCTTCACAGAAAAGCTGGATTATGCTGAGATGGACACAGTTTGACTTCATTTACTGGTTTGATGATTCCTAAAAGCTGGGTTGCACTTGATTTTATTTAGAGGAAGTAATATGCATGTCAGATTTTTAAGATTTTTATGTGTAAAACTTTTATATCACTTTCAGCTCCATTTTGTAAATATGCATGGTAGACTTTCACTGAATCCCAGTAAAATACACTGAAGGTTGTGGTTGTAACTTGACGAGATGTGAAAAGGTTCAAAGGTTGTGAATGTTTTTTTCTAGAAACTGCAAACATAAACCATCAACTTAAAAAGAAAGTAGCTCAACAAGCAGAAACATTCCTCTGAAAGAGCGTTTTCTGGATAATTTAACATCTACAGATTTCTGGTTACTTGAGTTTTCTGTGAAAACATTTCCAGCTCCTGGCCCCAAATGTCGTTTGGTATCGACTCTCCAAAATGTCCCTTCAGGTTAGCCTGTTATTTGTATCGATTCAATGGCGGATAAATCTAAGTTGTGCTACTTTGTCTTTGTCAATGAGTAACTGGATCAAATTTTTCACACACTTTGCCTCCAAAGTTTCTGTTTCGGTCACCTATTTGCTCTGACAACTGATTCAGAAATGGCGCCAAACGGATCCAAAGGGAAATACTTGCATTCTTAAATGGCATGCATGACGAAATATGACTTTATTTTGGTTTAATTGAAGGAAAATCTCATTTTTTAGTGACGCTTGTGGCCTGAGAATGGATCCACATGTTGAAAGTGAGGCACCAGTTGGTTTCACTTCATTTAAACTGCGGTATTGGGGAACAAACTAGCGGAGTTGCTGTAGTAACAGTTTCATTCATGTTGCTGCTTTGACTCTTCACTTATTTGTTCTAGTAGTAGGTGTGGAAATACCAGAAATTCGCCCCCTCAGATTTTTGTGCTTTATCTTTCCATCTGAGCAGATGCCACAGAAAAGGCTGATATGGTTGCAGATTGCACACTTCCTCCTTCCCAAAGGGCCCAGCTATCTTTACACGGGGACAAAACATGGATTCTCTCTCCAAAAACAAGTTCTGCACGATTCGACTTGTAAAAACCCAGCGTTTAAGATTTGTTCCACTTGTTCCCAGAGCTTCTCCTTAAAGCTTAGAGGAATTAATTTAGCTTTTACGATGTTTCATGAGTGAAAAGTAATCCCTGAGATGATTGTTTTTCATAAAAAAAGTTAAAACAGTGCTATGCTTCTGCATTCTTGCTCCTTTTTTAACATCTTGGGATTTCCTTTGCATGTGTGAGTCAGTCTGCAGAACAAGTTCCCATTTGTCTGAAACCTAAACTTCATACTTTCTTGTTGTTGTTTCCACGTTATCTTGCCATCACTCTTTTTTTTCTTCCTGTTGATGGATACCTGCCACTCCTTCCCATCTTCTTTCCCCATTGAAAACGTTATAAATCGATAATTAAGTCGATTTTCTACCTGGACTAAACAAAGCGGGTGTTTGTATGTGATAACTGGGTGAATTTATGCTTTAGTTTTGCGTTTGTGAAGCTGCACAGGGGGAATTTGCAGGGCGTTGTCTTTGAGGGAACACCGAAGCGAGAAGAGAAACAGAAACATGTCTGAACTGGCTTAGCCAGGTCTGCTGGCGAACCCATATAATCAAGAATAAATCAACTCCCTTCTCTCTTCGTACTTTTTTTAAAGACTGTCCAGCTCTTGCTTTTGTCAAACAGTCCTTAAATCAACCAACGTGAGATTGTAGATTATTAATAATGGGATTTCCTCCTGCACCTTACTAATTAATCTCGTTTTGGAAACAGAATAATCATATTTCACAGACAGCAGAGTCAGATTTTAAAATGGTTTTCGGTTCAGCAGAACAGTAAATACTTCAGTGGGTCTTCTGCTGCTGCTGCTGCAGTTTTTGTTGGAAACATCTAGATTACCATCCGTTTAGGGTCCCTGTGCTATTAATGCAATTAGTGATATTTGTTGTTTAGTGCAGCAGAAAATGTGTTTTTAAGGGCATTAATATGCGAGAGGAAACCAGGCTGGATCTTTCTGCAAACGCAGGAGATGTGTCCAGATGCAACTTTTTAATTAAAATTAATTGAAATTATGAATTACATTTTTTTTCCAGTACCTGGCAGGTTACTACCACTGTAGTTGTGTTGAATTAAAAGCAGAAACAATGTTTCATCAAATATTTGTGTAATTGCAAGTCAAATTGTCATCACAACTGTCTCTGCCGTTGTCACATTTTTTCCTAAAATCACACAGCCTTTTCTCAATTCAAGGTTTTACTGTTTTTTCTCAACCGTTCTGCTTTTAAGGGCCAGTTGCACCAGATATATTGATAAAACCTATTAACAAACCATTAAAAATATTAATAAATAGCTGCCTCTGAATTCAATAAGTACTTCTTAAAATTAAATAATACTGAACATCTTGTCACATTGATCATTCTCCAGGATTTTGTTGTTTCTGATTCTTTGAAATCAAAATCACTGATTTTGTGAAGCTGATTCAAAAATATTTGCAAGGTATGACGCTAAATGTGACTTTTTGTTACTCTTCACATGACTATAAGGTATAATTTGACAAAGTTTGAGGCACCAGAGTATAGAAGAAGTAAGAAATACTGCCACCTGCAGGTGGAAGATGGCATCACTTAAACTCAGTAGGTTTGAACATTTTTGCTGAAACTTTCCAATAAACTAAGCATTAGCGAGAAAAAATGTGGGAATCTGTTGATTTTTGCATGAATTTTCAACAACTGGAAGAACTGACGGCCACATAAAAAGCTACTGTGGGCCAGATTTGGCTCCCAGACCTTGAGTTTACCCCCTTCTCTGCACGTCTTTCTACTGTGTCCCAAACTTTCACATTTATTTGAATAATATTTAGTTAAATTACATCATAAATGCATGAGACAAATCCCCTCGGCTGTATTTACAGCTGTGCTGTAGGTGGGAACATTGATTTAACGCTGTGATCATCGCTGCTGGCTCGGTGTCTGCAGACACGTTTCTCCGGCTTGTTGGAACAGAAACTGTGAAGCGCTGGAATGAAGGTCAGCAGTCTGATGCAAACACAGTTTGGGTTTGTGTTTGAAGATCAAATCTTAGAAAGAAAGAGAAAAAAAGTGTGACAGCAGCTGATACTTGCTTTATTTAATTATTTTGTTTAGTTTTGTGTTTGTGGGGTCAGTTTTGCCTTACAAAAGTATTCATACCCATTGACCTTTGTCACATTTTGTCAGATTAGAACCCAAGCAGAAAGCTGAAAGTTGTTTAATTGAGATTGAAAGTGGTGCGTAAATGATGATAAAGTCGTTGTTGTAATGAGACTAAATATGAAAAAGGAGATAAAATATTCTTCAATGCCTTGAGTTTCCTTTATCATTTCATCAGTTGTTTTTAGATTTTGCTTCTGCCTGTTGTTTAGACTTGTAGAAAATTATCTAGCATTTATTTAGGTTGCTAATGTTTTTTAATTAAACAAAAGGATTGGACATCAGATTAAGATTGTTAGAAAATAAAGCTCTGATTTTGTGTGGAGTAAAAAACTGGACAGAACCATTTATGAGGGGGAAAACAAGTATATCATAGAAAAGATTTGAGTTTTGAAGTGAGAGAAAAACAAAGTTTGCCGTTTTATCAGTTTTACTCAACAGGAAATGAAAGTGTTTTTACCAAGGGTTTTTTTTTTAGATTTGCCACAAGTGTACAAAAACACACCACAGATTTGTGTCATCATTTTTTAAAAATAGATTCAAAAACAAAGTACAGCTTTACTTACTCTAAAAGTGATGCTGCTAGTCAAATATAACCTTCTCATCATCAACAAGTGTCATCACCTCTGAGAAAGTCGAGTTTTATCAGAAGAAGAGTTTTACAAACAGAAGTCAATCATTCAACACTGGAAAATATTTTTTACAATTGAAAAGCATTTAAGACCGTTTTTAATCTTTCCAGCAGTTGGTAATGAAATAAGCTCATCCTAAAAGCTTCACGCTGGCTTTTAAAAATGATTTGGGTTTGTAGTGCAGCTATTGAGTCAGTAAAGAAGTTTTCTTGAGTCAAATGTGAGCATATCTGAATGACAGCAGCAAACCTACAAAAGAAAAATAATCAATTTAGATTCATGGCTCAGTTAAAGTCCAGACAACCCTCCATAGGACTGTGCAAAAACAAATCCACTGAAAACTTTTGCATCTTTGTAAAGAACAGACTGATGTAAAACTGTCATACGCCGCAGTTCAGAAAACTGTAAAACAGCCGAAACACTGAGTTCCTTTAGATCTGTACGTCTAGAGTTGCTTTTGTACCATAATTAATGAAACATTAACCAACATTCTGATGTGTGATGATAACGGCACTTGGAAAATAATGTTTCAGTTGTTGATTTTTTTTGTGTTTTATGATGTAAAGCACTTTGAACTGCCTTGTTGCTGAAATGTGCTTTACAAACATAGTTGATTTATGATTTATTCTGCATGTTTGAAATGTTTTCCTGCTCCAGCAAACCTCAATCTCGAGCTTCTGCAGCAGCCTGATAGCAGGTGCTGCTAATTAAGGGAAACAATTAACAGGTTTAACTAAGCACCGGCTTTACAGGACCCAATAATTTTCCACCTGTTAAGCTATTAAAACAGAGGGTGTGGTTAGTTTTGTATACAACCAATCCATTTTGATTTGGTTTTCTGTTTAATAATCACAATGTGAACAGTCTGTCCTCTAGAAGTTGGACCTTAATCAAATTATAACCTGGTAAAGACCAGGCGACTGTTCATAGTTGTAAATGCGACTAGAAATAATAGAGTTTAAAATTCATGTACTGCACCTTCATTTCCAGAAAATGTTCTCAAAAACTGAATTATTCAAATTCAGACTATATTTGTTTTTATAAGGTTGCAAATGAAGCACTTCCATACATACATATGCAAAATTTAACCAATTTTAACTCACATGCAGCAAACATTTACCCTGTTTATGTACATGAAAGGTTCTTAAGCTATGTTCTGTTTATTTTAAGCTGTGTTTCATGTGTTTCTGCAGGCATTTGGCAATGCACAGACAGCAGAAAATAACAACTGCAGCCGCTTTGGGAAATTCATCCAGCTCATCTACCTGGAAAATGGCGTCATCAGAGGGTAAAACATCATGTGCTTCTTTATAAACACTGCAAAAATACAAAATCCTGCTGACTATTTTGGTCCAGCTTCTAGTGCAAATATCTTAGTAAAGGAAACTTCTCAGCAAGATATGAGTTTGTCAATAATTCCTAAATATTGATGAAAAATACTAGTTCAACTGGCAGATTATTTCACTTGTAACATGGGAAATCATTAGCAAAAACAATCACTTTTATCTTCCTGAAAAATAAGTTTTGTCTTACTTCAAGTGTACTAAGATATTTGCACTAGAAACTAGACCAGTTTTTGTAGCGAAAATGGCGGATTTTACATCATTTCTCAGTGGATCACTTTATTTCTCTTTTTGTGCATAACTTACAGAGCATTTATTGAGAAGTTTCTGCTGGAAAAGAACCGCCTGGTGTCTAGAGCTAAAAATGAAAGGTAAAAAATATTAAATCTTCAAATAATCAACTCAGATTATGATCCAAATATCATGTATGTGATAAATTTCTTGTCATATCTGCATAACATTGATATCTAAATGAAACCACTACGTTTACTGCTAATGTAAATGATGAAAGTAAAAAAAATGTTTGCGGCGTCTGATCCTCAGGAACTTCCATGTTTTCTACTGTTTGCTGATGGGCGCGTCTAAAGACGAGCAGGAAGAATTTCATCTACTGAAGCCGCAGGATTATGTTTATCTCAACCAGGTACCTGTGATCCACACGCTTTCCTGCTGCAGAGAAAGAGGAAGTGACGAGCTGAAATAAGACACAATGATGAAGCCTCTGCTCTGTCTGTCATTAGACCAGCCCACTTGGTCAATACATTTCTCATAATGACTGAAAGGCTGCAAATTAACACTAAAATTGAGTAAAATCGAAATATAATTAAGCTCAGTCTACTCATATTTCCTCTTCAGTCGTAGATGAAGGATTTAGCTTAACACAGAGGTTCCCAAACTGTGGGGCGCGCCCCCTAAGGGGGGCGCCGTACCATTGCAGAGGGGGCGCGGGAAGCCATCTGGATGAAAAAAAAAACAAAACATGAACACTGTATGCGCTGGGTTTTTACCTTAGAATGGCCAACTCTCTGTTATTCCTCTGTCAATTTGATACAATAGGGGCTTCCGCACTTCCCATATCTGTGTCCTCTGTCACTTTTATCAGTAGTTAAAACTGTTTAATCCGTTGTTAACATGTCGTAACCTGTTTTTCCGAGCCACCTTTAAACGCAACATGAGCGCTACGACGCTCGCGCTGGGTTTCCACCTGTGAAGGAGACCTGCTGCTGGGCGGAGCTACGTAGGTTTGTGTTAGAATCACGGCAGCAAACCAGCAAAACGCAAAGAACTTTTCACAGTTTTTCCCTCCAAACTAACCGACTGTTGAGTAAAGCTGTTGGATGCAGGTAAAGTTAGCTAAAAGATGACTAGCTAGCTAATATCAATACAGCACCTTAAGATTGTTAACAAGTAGTTTGTAGGCTACTGGTGTTGTTGTCTATGTTCAGCTACGACTCATTTTGTCCCCAAAAAAGTTGATCGCCCCCCTTGTTCGTCTGGAGCCGAGGCTGAGTATAACAGGGAGTCTCTAAGAATCCAACCCAGACCCCCCTCTTTGCTCACACACATCATTCAACCAGACAGTAAGCCATAGGGGGGCCCAGGAGAAAAAGTTTGGGAACCACTGGCTTAACACATTTCTGAAAGTCCAAAACATGTGTTCCTCTTTCATAAGGTGAATTGCAAAATTATTTATTTTTGTTGAGGAATTTCACATCCACCAAAATCTATGCACTTTATTGGTGTATGTGATAAATCAAAACTAAATGGAAGCATTTCATACATGAGTTTAAATTGTTTTAATTTTTGTTTGTAAATAAAAATCTGAAAAGTGTGGCATTAATATCTAAATACTTGACACTGGATTGTGTCAAGTATATTCAGTTTAGTTTATTTAGTGTTTTATATTCTTATGACTGATAACTATTCATAAAACTTTATTTACTGACAATACATCTTAACATGACAGGTATAAAATGTTGCCTTGTTTGTAGGGGTAATAAAGTTGCTGATTGAATCTTCTTCCTGTTTTTTTTACTTTAAAAGTTGCACAGAATATCTGAAAATTTTTTTAAAAATTACTAATAAGATTATTTTATCTTCAACTGAAACCTTTTGGGAAGAAAAAGTTCATTTAGCTAAATATTTTCCTCCAGATTTCTCTATGCAAGTGTATGTTGTTCCCCAGTTATGTTGATAATTAATAAATAGATATAAACAAAAATAAACAACTACACCTTATTTCATTTACTTTTATATGTACTGAACTATGCATGCACGCAATGTTTCTGATTTTTTTTTTCTTTTTGCACTTTTTCTGCAGGGGGAATTTAATTTAAACGAGGAGGACGATCCAAAACAGGAATACAAAAGACTTCAACAAGCTATGGAGATGGTTGGCTTTTTGACCGCCACTAAAAAATGGTACATGTGGTTATAATCACATTACATATCTGAAATCCCACAAGCTTTAGCAAAGCTTCCCACAGTTCTGACAAAGAAGCCTATCAAGATGAGATGGAACGCTTCAAATTTAGTTTTTAAAGTCGTCTTTGAAAACAGAAATGTTTTGCTTTGGTGTTTTTTAAGAAAACAACTAGAAAAATGCATTGATTTTTGCAGTAACACTCAAACTCATGCTGTTTCATAGTTTTATCACGTCTCATTTAAAGTGTACACCTGTTTGCCAAGCGAAGTGTAATTGAAACTGAGCTCTATTGAGTAGTTTCTGCTTTCTATACTGGTGTCGGCTGCATGTCTGAGCTTGTCGAGCGGCAGAGCACATATTCCAGCCAGCGCCCCAGAATGCCTCAGGACACAACGTGCATCAGCTGCATAGTTTGTTACGTGTTCAGGTTCGATTTCCTGGTGAATATTCACACACAGCAACATGGAGGTGGAAGATTAAATATTACATTTTTTATTAATCAGCAGTGGTTATGTGTTCCCGAATAGATGTTGTCATATATTAGGTTTGAATAATGCATTTAACATTTATTTGTTGAATCCTTATTATCTGGTTAAGCTCAGATAATATCAATGTCAAATCTATTTATTTAGCACTTAAAAAAACAGATAATAAAATAAGTTTATGAAAAGAGAAAGATAAAATACAATAATACAAAAAATAAATAAATAAGAACGACTACAGATTGCTCTGAGTTTTTACACCACTAGAGGCCATCATGGTTCCTACTGGACTGAAAAGTTGAGTCCTGCAGTAAGTTTGGAGATTTGTACTTAAATAAACTGATGTTTTATGAACTAAATAGTTCTTCAATAGTTAGTTGGTCCTAAATGAGGTCTCAAACAAATTAAGTTAAACTGAATAAAGTGAAGTGAAAAATTTGTCTTATTGTCAGTGAGGGGGAGCTGAAAAGTCAGTGTCAGATTTGTATTATCATTTGATAAATTAATTAATTGATCATGAAATTAGGTCAAGTTTTACAAACATTTATACAGAGTCTGGCTTTCAAAAGACTGTCACACTCAGGATATTTAAAAAAATCTGCTGTGATGAATTCATCTGTTTTCATTATTAGGATGAAGAGAAGAAGTTTTAGATTGTAAACGATGAACTGTGATGAGCTCAGAATGACGCAGAAAGGACGACTTTCAGGGCTACATTCGAGATAAACTGCTAGGGAAAAACTTGAGTCACTCTAGAAGTTTCTGTTAACTCATAAAAAATCTTAAAAACATTACACCTTGATAAGGACAACCGACACACAGCTGACGGTCATTCAACATGTTTGTGTTATTTCCACTCTAAAATGACTTAAAATCTTGTTTTTCTGTTTTTGCTTTGCAAGCATTTTATCTGTGGTCTCCGCCATCCTGCTCTTGGGAAATGTGACGTTCAGTCAGTCAAAGGATACTGAAGTCCTGGAGGCCGGACCTGCAGAGGTTTTATCTTCACTGTCACACCTACTTATGGTAATACTGATCACATTATACTCAGGAGTTTATTATGGATACATACGATAAATCTGCAAACTCAATTTAATTAGTTCACAAGCTAAGCTGGGCTGCCACTTATTTTAGAATATTTTTTTGGGTGTTTAGATTTTCATCAAAATTCAAGGATGCAATATAAACTCAAAAATATGCCTCCTCTGCTGGGTCCAATGTAGCAGCAACGACCCAAAAATAGACTTACTTAACCTCATTGTGCACTGTGCAAGAGCTCTGTTTACGCCGATGAAGATTCACTCACCTCAGCATGCCAAATTCTTGGGGTAGCAGACACAGAAAGGGAGCTTGACCTATTTTTTTTATCAAGTTTGTTCATAATTATTTGACCACTTCAAACCCCAGGAAGATCAGACGGAAAAATACACAGATAAAAATAAATAACTCTTTATTGTGTTTACTGGAATATTGTCTTAGCTGGGCATTTTCCCCTCCATCCCAGTAGTTAACATTTTTCCCATCCATCCCAGTAGTTAACATGCTGGAGAGAAACACTTCAGAATGATGACTATAGTTGATAGAAGTGACAGAAAATGATTTTTCACTTAAATGCTCATCGGTTCTTCATGTTTGGACTCAGGTTGGGTATTTATCATTCATCGGGAATAATTTCTTAGAAGAATTTTCATTTATTGTCGTCTTGATACATTTCAATTAACGACGAAGAACTGACATTATTATTGGAAATGCAATTTTTTTTTCTATTTTCACCACCATTTGGTCCATGAGAGCATCAGTAAATCGGAAAAATTGTGCAGTTCAGTGATATAAATCACACTTCTTTTAGTAAGTGGTATCCTAAAGAATTTCATTTCATTGGGAATGTTTCAGTATTTGCGTTTGTGTATGAATTTTGTGTCAAAAGAAGTAATTAATAGTTTATATTCATCTTTTTTTATCATTATCACAACGGTACCGCAAAATATATAGTGGTAAAAATGTGTGAAGTTTGGACCTACATTGTCTGAAACAGGGTGGCAGCAGGTTAACATTGCACTGATGAAGCAAAACTGTTTAATTTTTATAAATTCAGACATTTAGAAATAAGATAAGGTAATCTGTGTTATCTCTGTTTCGTTTCATCTGCAGGTGAAAAAGGAGCAGCTGGTGACGACTTTAACCAAGAAGAAGGTAGTGACTGCGGCCTCCACTGTGGTTTCATACTACACACGACAAGAGGTAATTACTTTGAATTTAGGAAGATCCTTTATTACCTGGAGTTAAACTGCTATGTCCATTTATCATTTCGGTTTTATGGTGTTGCCATACGTTTAATTTTCCTTGTTTCATTTCTAGGCCGTGTCAGCTCGTGACTCCATGGCGAAGAGTTTATACAGCGCTCTGTTTGACTGGATCATCCTTCACATTAACCACGCAATGCTCAACAGACGGGACCTGGAGGAGTCCGTCTCTGTGAGTCAAGTTAAATCTTGATCTATAGCTCTCCGATCTTTCAGTAAATGTTTGTAGATGATATGAAGATTATCAAAACGATCTCATATTCTGTTATTTTAAGAGCTTCTGTTGTGTTTTTAGTGTTTGTCCATTGGTGTCCTGGACATGTTTGGGTTTGAGAACCTCCAGAGAAACAGTTTTGAGCAGCTATGCATCAACTACGCCACTGAGAAGCAGCAGTTTTACATCAACCAGAACATCTTTAAGCTTGAGCAGGTTGGTCTTTGTTTTCCTATTATTATTTTTATATCAACACAATATAACATTCACGTTTCTCCTGCTTCTGCACTTACTTTTTTAAAAAGTTGATTTACATTAATTTTGTGGGAGGTTTGTGATTATTTGTCTGATATTTTATTAACTTTTAGGAGGTCTATGTGTCAGAAGGCATAACCTGGGAAAACATCAACTTTATTGACAACAGTGACTGCATCCAGCTGATCAGTGACACATCAGTAGGACTCCTCCACTTGTTGAACAAGGAGAGCAAGTAGGTGAAATTTTACATTAGAAACCACTATTTAACAATTTGGAGATGGGGAGAAATATGCTTTATGGAATAAAATGTTGAAATGTGAAGGGATTTGCTCATAAACATCAATCTCTGCTAGTTTTGAAAGTCAGCGGGAACACAAAAGCAGCTGCTTTGCATGTGAAGCAATGCAAAACATTGTGTTGTTTTTGTGTTTAAATGTGTAAAATACAGAGATTTTTTTTCCTTTCAGATTATTATCGCACTAGGCTTCATAGAAATACAACAATGATTCTTGGGTTTTCGATTTGCATGTGAAACGTTGCGAATAGAGACCCAGTTCATCCCAAAGTTATACATACCCCTGGAAAATTTAGGTTGAAATTAATAATTTAGTTTTACCAACATTGTTCTTTTGACTGGAAGTCATGTTAATGTTTAGGAGTCCTAAGACTTGAAACATGCAAAATGGTTGTTAAAAGTTATGAAAAATGTTTGACTGTAATAAAGTTTTTCCATTAATCATTTAGCAAAGATATACATTTATATAAGAGCATCTAAAAGTAGCCTTTTAAATTTTTTTCTTCTTGGATATCTCATTTTATACTACATTAAAACTTGTTGGTTGAGCAAAATTAAGTTGAAATCTAAAATGCAGTAAAGGACCACTTTTAACCAGTTCAGTTTAAAACTGTTGAGTCACATTTTATACTCTTAAATATGGCCGCAGGGTACTTATCGAAACAAAATTCAAAGGCTTAGGAAGCTTAAAGTCTTAGCAACAGCAGGTCACAGCAGGACTTGGTAATCCAGTTTTTTAAATATTCAGGTCTGGGTTTAACTTTAATTTCAAGCATGACTCAGAAATCTGTTTGACTGATGTTTTCTGTTGCGGTTTTATTCATTTCTTTGGCCTTACTCGCTTTCTCAGATATAGTATAGGTAATGGTGACTATTTTCCTTTCATTTCCGTCTCTCAGGTTCCGTCTGACCCCTGATGAAACCCTGCTGGAGAAGTTTAAACAGCACCATCAGAGCAACCCTCGCTTTGGGTTCTCTCCCTTCAAGCAGGACACTTTTACCATTGAACACTACGCTGGGAAAGTTAAATATCACATAAAGGTAAAACTCCCCCAATGCAAACATTTTTACATTCCAGTTAAGATAAAATCTTGTCATTCAGCAACAGGAAGTTGGTGTAGTAAAAGATCCAGAAAATTCCAGATAAAGCCACTGGTTGTTAAACAACACATGTAACCCTTCTGTGTTCGTTTCAAGTTGACTTTACGACAGACACATTCAGGTTCATGGTATTTATTCTAACAAAAATAAAACAATCAAGTTGGTGATTAACATCAGTCCAGCAGCTTCTGCCCCTATACATTAAATAAAATATAATAAATAACCCTAAACAAACTACAAAGCAGTAGCTCCCAATGTTCATTTGGTAGCAGTTAATAGCAGTTAGCAGCAGTTAGCAAATTAAACGGATAACATTAATAATGACAACAGTCAAAGTCATATACAAAATATAGCAAAATTACTCATGAAACACTGTATATTATTAAATTTGTCTAAAATTTATGTTAAATACAGTACTTGTAAAGAAAACACAGAGCTGTTCTTAATACATATCAGTTACAGCAACAGAAAAAGGGGAAGGAGCTGTCAGTTACTGGTTACTCTGGTAACCACCAAGTGCCAAGAGCAGTGTAACCAGGTTTCAGCCAATCAGCGCTAAGGAAAATAAATGGAGCTTTCGGATTGGCTGCTTTGCAAACTTCAGCCATCAGGATTGGGCTAAGCTAAATCAGTTTTATAAGCTACATTTTTAAAAATATATTTTATGCTCTGTAAAAAAAACAAAATCAGCAAATAGATGGATTTTTCACAATTAATTTGGAGTTACAAAGCGCAAAAACTGAACCGTGAATACAGAGAAGTTCACTGTAATTCTTTTTACTGAAAGTCAAGAGAAAGTTAACATAAAAAAATCTTCCAATATTCGAGAATGTTAATAATTTTGGTAACCCTAACAAATCTAAAACAATAAAAGTTCAGTTTTCCTTTGTGACTGCTGCACACAGTGCATGTAAACTTCAGATTTTAACTGTACATTTTTATGGTGGTGTTTTTAGGATTTCAAAAAGAAAAACACGGAGTTCATGCGTCCTGAAGTCGTGTCTCTTCTGCGAAGCAGCAAGCGCTCCTTCCTGCATCACTTGGTTGCAACCAACCCTGAAGCTTTGTTCAGATGGAGCATCCTCCGAGCGACCATTCGCATCGTCTCAGTCTTAAAAAAACTCCTAAAGCAGCGGACTGAATGGAGTAAGGAGTCTTTTTATCGTTTGTAGGGCTGTACTGAATTTTCCAAGTGACTCAATTAGTATGTGCTTTGCATAACTTGCATTTTGTGTAAAATAATTTAAATGATTGTTCAATTTTCATCTTAGCTACTGGAAAACAAACCCCACGCACGCCAATCCGCACGCCAATCTCAGCCTTAAAAAGGCGCAGCAGTTATCTGGACAGACTGACTGGGTAATTATTACTACTTATAATAATTATGGTGGATATACTTTGACCTAAAGTAATGACTTTTCTCTTGTTTCTTCCCACACCAGCAATACTCTGGATTTCTCCTTTGATCACTCTGATGAACAATCACTCAATATGTTTGAGGACATCTTTGTCAATTATGAAGAGAAAAAGTGAATAGACAATATGTTGTTAGTTTCACAACTCAGAAAATGTTTGTCTGAATGTTTTAACCTAATATTTCCATATTTTTTCTGCAGGAAAAATAGAGGTAGTCGACAAAAGCAGATCATTCCAAAGGTAAAAAGTAGCCAAACTAATATGAAATCTTTATTCTGTAGTGCTTTGCAAAATAATTCAAATCAATTAAACACATTTTTAATATTTAGCCACTAACTTCATGCTATATCTTTGGATGTTTAAGTTGACAAACACATAAAGCGACACTTATCAGTCACTTAAAAGAGCCTTTTTTTGGAGGAGCTGCAGAAATCCATAATGCAGAAATAAGAAGTGATGAATTATAATAATCTGTCCTATTATAAAATACCTTGTTGGCCTAATCTGTTTTGTGCAATACTAAAACGGCACGTCATGACAGAATAATGTTGTGGAATCCCTTTCTGCGGGATGGAAACAGAATTGTTGTTAGCCAATCTCCATTCAGTCTAAGTGAATTTGAGCTATTTATATTAGGTACATACTTTCAAAATGTACCCAAAAACTTCCAATTGTCATTCAGCTGAAAGCTGAAATCAGTGGAGATAAATGCAAATAGAAGATATTTTTCATTTATATATTTTTGCAAAATTAAAAAAAAGAAAACCCAGTTTCAATTTCATCCCACTTCACAGTTATGCTGCTTGGTGTTGTTCTGTTAGATAAAGTCTCAATAAAATATATTTACATCATTGGACTCTGTGGTTTAAAAGTGTGAATAAGATCAACGTCTGCACCTTACTTCACATGTAAACATCCAGAGCTCCTCTTGTGTTTATCCTCATTATCTTATTTTGTCTTTCGTCAACCAGAACCTCATGAATTTGAGTTCACTCCATCACATCGTTGGTCTGATGAAGCACGACATAACGAGCAAATCTGTCTTCCACCCTATCCGGCGAGCAGATCCACCCACAGTTGGCGCTCAGTTTCAGGTTTTTTAGTAGTATTACTAAATATGATGATAGCCAAAACCTTGCTGGATGTTTTTACTCATTTCTATAGTTTGAGACCTAAAGCCATGTTTGCTCTCTGCATGTATTTATCTCACAGACCTCATTGGGAAAACTGATTGAGACGTTAGAGAAAGCAGAGCCTTTCTTCATTTTCTGTCTTCGCTCTAATGCTGAAAAGGTGACAACATATGTTAATTTTCAACCGCGTACTGCAGATTTTTTCTTTTTTGTTATAAGGACAGATGATGACTGAGCATCTTGTCTTGATATTATAGAAACAGCTGCACTTTGATGATGAAGTGGTGCTAAATCAAATCAAGTACACTGGCATACTGCAAATGATTCACATGCAGAAGTCAAGCTACAAAGCTAAATACACATTTAAGGTAGGTGATTCATTTAAAACAAAAATTTATGTACGGCACCCTCTATATTTATTGGCCTGTCTGGTAAAAATGTGTAAAAATCCTTAGAATAAATGCATGTAATGCAGTAACACAGAACGGTTTAGAAAATAATCAATATTTTAATTCGACTACATTTATTTTGTGTGCACTTTAAAAGCCTCATATCTCACCAAATATTTGTGATCTATTTTGTCTTGGTACTCTTAAAATAAGATAAAACTAACTTACAAGTAACTTTTTAAGCAAGATACTGGAGCTTGTTTTAAGTCAATAATTCTTTAATATTGACAAAAAGTACTAGTTCAAAAAAAATCACTATAAAGGAATTATTTACAGTTTTAACAACAGGGCAGCCACTTCTAAGACTTTTTACACATTAACAAAAGGGACCATTAAATATGGAGGTGGATGATTTTCTGAACTCTCCTATAATTTTCCCTGTTAACAGGAATTTGTTGAGAAGTTCAGGATTTTGCTTCCAAAAGGAACGACTGGATCCCCACAGGAGATAACTGAACTATTTGAGAAGATGGGATTGGAAAAGAGCACCTACCAAATAGGAAAAACTAAAGTATATAACACTCCTTTCTTTCCATTTTCTTATCAAGATCAAGTCTTGAAATAATCTTTTTGTTTTATCATGAAAATGTATCTTCAGGTGCAGAAACACATAAAAATCAGTTGGAAATAACGCAAAAGCAAAGGGTTAGCTTTAGCCAAAACATGACCCACCTCCACATGACTTATTCCTGCCTTCAATCTGCTCAGGTCTTTCTGAAAGAAAAGGAGCGTCAGCTACTCCAGAGCACTCTGAACAAAGAAGTGATGCAACGGATCGTCACCCTGCAGCGCTGGTTCCGCGCCTGTCTCATAAGGCTGCACTTTCTGCAAAAGAAGGATGCCACCATGATCATCCAGGTACAGCTGCTTTCTTACAGAAATGACAAAACAACAACACCTATTACGTTATAAGCCATATATGAACCATTTAAAAGCAAGAACAAAATTAAGCAACTTACAGTTCCTTGCAAAATTATTCATATTAATTGAACCTTTGTAACCAAAACCCAATTCTTTCCACGATGTGGAAAGAATTGGGATATAAAACGACAGCTGAAAAATAACACTGTGGACCATGGATATGTCATTTCAAAAGATGCTATTGTAGAAAATAAATGTTGCTCTGTATCTGTTTCCTTCATACTTAAACACTACTCCATATTAATCTGTGACATGAAATCCCAATAAAATACAGCAACATTTGTGATTCTAATGTGAAAAAAAAGTGCAGTGGGTGAATACTTCTGCAAGGAACTCTACAATCATAATAAAAAATGTACAAACCTACCTCAATTCTAAATTTATATGCATATATAAGTACGTATAAACTAAGCTAAGATGATATCAAAGAACAAATGGAGAGTTTGACCACAAAGTAAACATGAAACTGTATTTGTTGTTGTTTTAGAGGAGCTGGCGGGAGTTTTTTGAGAAGCAAAACCGAGCTGCAACAGTAATCCAGATGGCGTGGCGTATTTCCCAATCACTAGACCTCGAGGACCATGAAAATCGTTCCAGTTCTCTGCGTGGAACCAGGTACTATGACTAGGAGCCTGTATATTTAGTCTTTAAAATCAGTCATATTTTTGGAAGGATAATTTCTGGTAATTTAAATGATTTTGGTTTACTGTTGATGCAAACATTTTCTCTTAAAATCAGAACACTAATCAAGATAATTTTCTGCTTTATTTATAAATGAATAAGATTTTAATGCAGAATACACTATTGAAAAGTGTATTCAGTATCTGTTATGGCTGTCTTTCCATGAATTACTGCACCAGTGCAGCAAAGCATGGATGAAATCAGCCTGCTCTGCATTGTTAGGTCTGGTGTCTATCATTTTTCTTTTGACAATACTCCCTTGATTCTGTCTGAGATTTATAGGTCAGGGTAATTTGCTGGCCAGTCAAGCACAATAATAAATGATAATAATAATAATAATAATAATAATAATAATAATAATAATAATAATAATAATAATAATAATAATAATATGGTTACTCAAGTAGATTTTCATAGTTTTGGTGGAATTAGAAGATGCTAACAAAGTTTAATCTGTATCTCCCTAGAGTTTGTCAGCAGAAGAAAGCATAAAGTGCTCTAAAATGTCCCAGTAGGCAGGTATTGGTGAGAAAGATTTCAAAATATTGGCAGTTAATATCAGTCAATATCCATAATTATAATTTCTTTTGTTTTAAATATCTGAAGTGGGATTTTTTTTGTTTGTTTTATTCAGTTTTCACTTCAAGTTTTTTTTTTTTTTTTTTTTTTTTTTTAAGCATTTTGAAGGAACGGGGGAAAACCTTAAACGCCTCTGCGCCACC